GAACTAAAGATGATGAAATTAAAGTTAATTCATACATGCATGCTTAGTTTAATTTAATTTCATCATTTTGAACATGAATCATCTTTGTTGAATTTCAAAGAATTTGGAAGAAAAGTCCACATGCATGCATGAATATATAGAGTTTTACCATGTTGAGTTGAGCTTGAGCATTCAAGGTGTTATTGTGAATTGATTGGTACATGTATATTTGAATTATCATGTTTTGAACCTTGATTTCATGTTTTGAAAAGGAATTTCTTGCATGCATGGAGCTTATGAGCTCAATTTGCTAACTTCATGAGTTTTGAAGAAAAGAGTTTGAAAGATTTTACATCCATGCATTGTTTCTTAAGTCTCAAGATGAATTGTGAGCTATTGGCAAACTCTTGGCCCTGATTTTATGAAATAATCCTTAATTCATCATACTTTGCAAGTTCACTATGTTATCTCAAGTTTTGGAGCCCAAAAGATGTGTTTTTGAGAGTTGCATCCGAGTTTTGAGCTGGTAGAACAAATCTGGAAATTTCAGAATTTGTATCCACGCTCGAGCGTAGGAGTTCACGCTCGTGCAACCACTCTGAGTGTGTGCACTTCCGCTCGAGCGACCAGGAGTCCGCTCGAGCGTGAAATGAAAGCTCCCAGAAGTTTCATGTTTTTGCAAACCGCTCAAGCGAAGGAATCTGCGCTCGAGCGACCTTTCACATTTTACATGTCCGCTCGAGCGAGGAAAGCTAAGCTTGAGCGAGGACCCTATTTTCAGAAATTTGATTAAGTGTTTTCCAATGCATTCTGGCATCCTCATTATATCTTAGGCATTCCTAAGACTTAATTAAGCCATAGTAATGAGGTTATGTATTAGAAACACACTAAGTAAGGAACGTACTAAGTTAAGAAATTACAAGTGTGTATTTTGAGCAATGTGTTAAAAAAGAACAAGAATCAATGTAATGAAAACTAAGCCATGATGGCCACATGAATATGTAATGATAAGATGTGTTTGTGTTATGTACTTTTGTGTTTGCAGGTCAACGTCTGAAGTTTGATTGACCATTTACAGGAATCACTGTGAGTAATGTTATTGTAAAGATATGTTCATATAAATTATGTTCCAAATGTGATTTGATAAGTTATGATTTCTGAAATGATATTTGTTTACGTGAACGAATGTCCTATTTGCGAATCTATTATGGCATCCATAGATAGTCCCAAGTCATGGGGGATGGCATGTTAATGCAGGTCCATAACATATATGTGATCACAAGATCTCGTTAGCCACTTCATTGTGGTGATATGTGTTTAATCAGTATCCAGAACCGATTACTCTAGTCAGAAAATGATATGTGATGTGTTCTATGGGATGTACCATTATTATGTTCAGATACGAGAATGATTATGCTATGATCTGTTTTACGCTTATGATATGTTCGGATTTCGTTTACTAACCTCTTTACCCTAATGTTATTCACTGTGCTTTAGCTCACTGTGTGTATATATATGTATAGGTAGGCTTTTAAGAGATCGAGCCTAAGGGCTTTTGTTTGGATTTGTGTTCTGTTGTCAGCCAGCCATCATGCCTCACGTGGAGGTTCCTAAAGTGTCACGTATATCTGGTTATTTATGTATATCAGACTTGATTTGTTTTATTGGTTGTACATAAGATGCTACTATGTGTATGGGTATAATGTATGAATGACTTTTGGATATGTATAAAAGGTTTTAAATATTCTGTTACATTTAAGTCAGCACAGCTCATTGGACGATTATATCTATGTGTTTGCTTCCGCTAAGCCCCTTAATTATGTTAATTAGTTCAGAGGCCTTTGGTAATCCAAGGCTTACTAGCCGGTTACGATGCCAAACCTATAGGAGCAGATTTGGGTCATGACAGTGCTTTAGTTCTCTATGCTTTCTCTTTTGAAAATGACTCCTGTTGATGTTTTCCAATTACACAACCTTCACAAATATGTTGCACTTTATGAATGGTTGGAAACCCAAAAACCATATTCTTTGTTGTAAATGCTTTCAAGCTTTGAAAATTCAAGTGCCCAAATCTTCTATGCCAGAGCCATGAAAACTTCTATTCTTCTCCATATTGATTTTTGCTACAACTTGGCTTCTCTCCCCTTTGTCAAAAATTTTGCAAAAAAATTTCTTCAAAGTTAACAAGTTATCCATACTCTATAAGTTGTCCAACTCTTAGCAAATTTTTCTCCAAGTCTAGAACTAGGAGAACATCATAAATGAATCTTGTACCCATCTTGGTTTCTATAGCAATAGTATCTTTTCCTTTTGTTTGGACTAAGGCACCATTCCTCATTTTTACTTGAGAACTGGAGGAAGCATCAATTTTCACAAAAATGCTCTCACCTCCTGTCATGTGATTGCTACATCCGTTATCGAGAAACCATATATCCTTGTTTTGATCCGATGCCTTGTGACAAGCATAGAACAAATGCCATTCACTTTCTTGCTCCTCAAAAAAATTAGCTTGTTGAGTGCTATTGACTTGGCAATCCTTCTTGACATGCCCAAATTTGTTGCAATTGTAACATTTTGGCTTTCCCCAAAACCAACAATCTTTATCAACATGACTTCTTCGATTGTAAATTCCATACTTTTGTTGAGTGGACTCTTCTTTTTTCTTTCTTTGAAAATTAGGCATTCCTCTTCCTCTTCTTTAGGAATTATAAGTACTAAGGCCTCGTTTGGGAACAGGCTAATTTAGTAACTTTTTGGCTATTTGGCTAAAAAGGTAGGTAAAAAAAACTTGTATGTTTGGGTTGACTTTTTGGCTAATTACGAAAAGATGTGCAAAAAGTAGAGAGAAAAGAGAATCTTTGACTTTTTGGTATGAGTTGTTGGCTTTTTGGCTAATTTAGTAACTTTTTGGCTAATTGGCTAAAATAGCCTCTTACCAAACGAGGCCTAACATTGAGTTTGGATTGAAAAGTACTTTCAATTGACTTTTCAGATTGCCTACTCAACATTTGCTCAAATGTTTTAATTAAACCCATCAATTCTTCAATACTCAAATCAGTAAGATTTTTAGTTTCTTCAACGACAGCAACAATATAATTGTATTTCTCCGACAAACTTATCAAAACTTTCTCAACAACTCTTTGATTAGAAATATTATCCCTATATATTTTCATCTGGTTCATAAGTTGCATAACTTTAGAAAAATAATCCTTCAACCATTTCGTTCATCTTTATATTTTCAAAATCTCTTTTCAATGATTGAAGTTTGATGGTTCTTACCTTCAAGTTACCTCTATACTCTTTTTGAAGAATATCCCATGCCACATTTGCTTTTGTAGCATTGATAATTCTTGGAAAGATTGCTTCTGAAACTCCTTGTTGAATCAAAGAGAGAGCATTTGAATCCTTCTTCCTTTGCTCTTTCAATTGGTTCTTTCAGAGATTTGTCAAAGATCCTTCATTTTCAAGTTCCTCGAACCCATTCTCAACAAGAATCCAAAGATCTATATAGACAAAAATAATTCTCATTTTCACATACTAAAAATCAAAATTTTCACCATTAAAGATAGGAGTAGATACATTTTGGTTGTTAGAATTCTCCATAGACGTCGGATTGTTCTTCTTTGGGGGCTTGTTTTCCCGTATCCGATCTCTACACCTAGCTTGTTCTTGACCCAACTAAATCTCTGATACCACTTCTGTTAGCTTTTGATAAAATCTCTTTAGAATGAACTATTATTTTGTATTAAACTTAACTTGTATTGATCTTAAATTTTTTCTCTTATTCTTCTCTTTGTCCATAGGCTTACATCCTTTAATATAGAGAAGGTTATACATAAATTCAATGAACAACCTTACAACTAACTAGGTATATGAATATAATTTAGACAATGAACTCAATAAATATAAAACACATGAATATAAAAATACATAAATACAAAGAATACATGAACCTAATGTATCCAATGTAAATATGACATTAATTTTAACAGTGTTATTGTTTGGTTCATCAATGCAATCCTTTCTTTGCCAATCAAATCCCCACACACACATGAAGAAGAAGAAGAAAAAAAAAACAATGATTGGACTAACTCAGTTGGTCATTCTTATATGCTCACAATTGAGAGGTCAACGGGTTGATACTTGCTCGATGAAAGGATCAATTGTTCCTTCCCAATTATAGGGCCTTTCTTTTGTGGTTTGTCTATTTCCCTTATCTGATGGCTTGGGTTTGCTGATATGTATGGTTGGAATTTTTTATATAGTTGATGAATTTATGGGAATATATTTTCGAAATTTGAACTTTGAACTTTGATCCACTCTATTACACAATTGTAATGGAAAATTTTACTCCTTCCGTTCCATAATATTAGTCCCTTATTTTATTTTTCATTGTCTCAAAATATTAGTCCCTTTTCAAAAATCAAGTATAAAAATAATATAAATTTCTCATTTTACCCTTCTTTTAAATTCATAAATAATATAAAAAGTACAATTATGACATTGATATTCTCAAAAAAAGTGTACTATCAAAGGGTAATTTTGGAAAACTAACTTTTTAAAAGTACAATAATTGTACTATCAAAAAAAGTTGGATTCTCCAAAAGGGACCATTATTTTGGGAGAGGGAGTATAACATATCCAATAATTATAAAATAAGAGTACGAATTTATCATTAAGGAAAAGTCATTACACTTACTGAGGTAATGTTTTTATATATAACCATTGGATGATGAGATGAAAATTCTCTATTATAACCCATCACAATCCAACTGGTGAGGGCGTCAAGCCCCTCAATTTTCTTTCTAATTGATCATGCAAGTAAATTTTGGCCTCAGTCACATTGGATTTGTTGGTCTTTATTAATAGTAAAATTACTTGGCTCTAAAAGTAAAATACTGAATATGAGCAAAATTGTTATGAATGTGTAAAGATTAGACAACTTAAAATGACAATTGGAAATTTCACTCAAATTTGAAATTTCCAGATAAAAAATAAAGCAACCATCATCAAAAGTCATGTAGGAAGTATATATTTTTCTAGACATTAAGGACATAGCATTATTACATTTTTCACACATTTTACAACACCATTGATCAACTTTTTCATCTTCCCTTTCTTTTCTTATGAGCTTGAAATAATTTTACACACCAAAAATCTCTAGTTCAGGCCACTTTTGGATACGTCATGATTTGCTCAAAAGTTACGATTTGATGTGCTCGGAATTATGACTTCACCATATTGTGTATAACTCCAACAACTCGATGAAACGTAACAAATACTACATCACCTCATAACGAAGATTACAACACATCTTATGTCATTTTGTCACTGTAGATTGTATCCTAATCCATAATCTTGACACATCCCATGGGACTGAAGGACAGGACTTGAAGAATCCCATGAGTTTGTGGAGGCTGATTTCAACTCAAAATCGTTAGACCACCACATCATGCTGTCCTTCGAACTATCCATTGCTTTGAAACAATCGAATTCTGCTATTGGATCCTCCTCCTGTGGTGGAAGCCCAATTGTTTTGTTGTGCAAAAGGTCATCAAGATCAGCTTGGAATATTGAAACTGCCTGAATTCCTTCATTATTCGATTGTTCCATGACAACTTGATTGCTTCCAGCATTGAAGGCGTTTAAAGAATTCTCCAATTCGTCGATATTTAAACCGTCTATTACAGAAGTATTGGGTGGTTCATAGAAATCGATCTTGTATTCTTGTCCAGGTTGAGTACTAGGAAGGACATGTTGTTGCATCAAAGTGTAATTAGTGTTTTCATTCAAGAATTGGAGGCTTTGAATAAGCTTTTCTTGGAGGGGCTGCAACTTGGGCCAAAGTGCAGGGTTGTTGTAGAAAGACAAAGGGTTTTGGCAGCTTTGAAGTTGCATATGGAGCTGAAGTCTTTCTAGGGCTGAGTTGCTCAACACCGGCTCACACGAGTCATCTAGGCTGCCATTTTCATCTTTTGGATCATGACTTGTTGATGATAGCCGATTTACGTTGGACTGTTTGCGTCTTCCGAGCAGTTTCTTCTTCAGCCTTGTGTTCCAGTAGTTCTTGACGTCGTTATCTGTTCTTCCAGGCAATTGAGCAGCAATTATGGACCACCTAACATTTCATGGAAATTTAATTTTATGATCAAAACCCAGAATTAAAAGACAAATTTAGGGGGGCAAATAAGAAGATATGAATCTAGAGCTGAAGGATTGATTCTCTAAACAAAAGCATATCATGGAAAAGGACAAAAGACAGGCAACTTTGGTTGAAATTTGTACCCAGAACACATACATGGTAAGAGAGAGAGAGAGAGAGGAATACCTGCTACCAATACTAATGTAGAGACTGCAGATGATGTTGTCTTCTTCTTCAGAGAATCCACCATGCTTGATGTTGGGTCTCAAGTAGTTGAGCCATCTCAGTCTACAACTCTTTCCACATCTCTTAAGCCCTGTTAATTATTTTCACCAATTACTCTCAAACACAGGATAAAAAATTATAAACAATCACGAACACATGGAGAGAGAGAGAGAGAGAGAGAGATTAATATATACCAATCTTTTGGGGAAGAGCAATCCAGTTATTTCCAGTACCATACTTCTCAATATAAGCCTTGAGTTTTTCATCTTCTTCAGGAGACCATGGACCCTTCTTTACATTGGCCTTGTCACAGCATGGAGCTCTACCCATCTCTCTCTCTCTCTCTCTCCAACCAAAGTGTTGAAAAAAGTTAGAAGCTGTCTCTGATTGTTGGGAAAATTGCTGAAGGGAAGACCAAGCTTTATAGGTAGGAACAGTGGGTGATGTGATGCTTATGAGAACCAACAAGTCCCACACCTCAACTTCTTCTCAACCCCATTTCTCTTCTAGGGTTTGTTCTCTCTCTCTCTCTCGTATTTGGATTAGTTCACTCATCCATTAACAGTTTTTTTTTCAAGTCTACATAGAACCTGACAAAGTACTACACAAATTTTCTTCTACTTTTTAATATTAAAATCCATAGCTTTTTCTTGCCTCTATTACTTTATTATTATGAGAAGGAAAAGGCTACAGTTAAAATAGTGGGGGGGAACATCTATCTGCTTAGTTTATTGCCAATCTACCTTGATATATGTTCGATTATTGCTCTTTTTAAAGATTAAAAATGGTGGCTTTGTACAATACAAGGTACAAAGAAGGTTAGCCATACAATATGTGAAATTTATATTTGGATAAATTACGTTGATAATTCATGTATTTTGTTTTTTTCTATCATTTTGATTCATGTAATTTTAATTAGTTTAATTTTGATCATTAATTTATAATTTTATTTCAATTTAATCAAATTACTTACCATTGCTACCATTTTTTTAATGAAAAGTATACATGTAAGTAAATATTTCATACTTTTAAAAACAAAATTATAAATTTATTCAATTTAATGAGTTAACCTCAATTAATTGAGTGATCATTTTTAAGAAATTTAGCCAAAATCTTTCATTGGACCATTGTTTGGTGAAAAATACTGCCCAATTGATTTTGTTACATAAACTCCTTAAGGAGAAAACAAATAATTGAGTAAAGACAATGTAAAATATCTTCTTCTTTTTTTCCTTAGATAATATTGCCAAAGTAACATGTTACTGTGAATTAGAGTAATATGTTACTATCAAAAGTAACATGTTATTGTTACTGTTTACATCAATTTCAACGATAATAATTTTATTTTTATTTTTTTAAGAATTTCATAATCAGTATGGATCTTATTTAATAGATCTCGATGAGAGAATTCTAAAAAATAAATTTTATTAAAAACCAATATTTATATCAAAAGTTATATTATTTTAAAATTTAATATTTTTATAATAGTGGTATGTGTTGGGCTTTTGAAGAAATTTTTTTTGTACTTGTCCTTAATGTACTAAAATTTCAATATGAGGATATTTTGACTAAATCTCCCATTATTTTTTGTTAAAAATAATACCGGCATTATCAATTGGAAATTGACACAAAATCTAAATTAAAGATTAAAATTGAGTAAATTAAAAATTGTAAGAACTTAGATAATACAAAATGTAAATGTAATGATTACTTGTATCATTTGTTTTTTACTTTTTTGGAGATGTTTTTCAACTGTATGCATAAAGAAGGTATACCGTAATGAATCGGATCCCCTCCTTACATTTCTTATTTGTAAGGTTATTGAGTCCACTTTTAGGCTTAATTTTGATAATTCGAATCGTTCATATTTTAAGATTTGTTCAGTATATCATACTTGTAAAAAATCAAATTGATCGGATATCAGAAAGCATGTATTTGGAAAAATCGAATTGAAAACTATTTTTTTAAAGAATTTAATAAATAATTTTCCGAACACATACTTTTTGATATCCGATCAAGTTGATTTTTTACAGGTATGATATACTGAACAAATCTTAAAATATGAACAGTTCAGATTATCAAAATTGAGCCTAAAAGTGAACCCAAAGGCCTTACAAGTAAAAAATGTAAGGAAGAAATACGAAGAGAGGATCCTGATTCATATCGTAATTGCCAGTGCGTTAAGAGTTTCTTCAACAAAGGAAGCATCTAGAGTATTTCAAAAAAAAGCTAGGGTCACAGAATTTGGGACCGCATTACAAAAAAAAAATTAAAATTTTAAAGATTAAAATTTAGGGATAAAATTATTTTTTAGAGACTAAATAGGGACAAAATAATTTTGTTGTGAAAAATGTCGTTATTATATTTTTAGTAATAAAAATTAGACAGTAGTGATGAATTATTATCTTTTTGGAACCAAATTTTTTGTCTAAAAAAATAAACCATTTTAAAACTAAATCATTTTGCTCCTAAAAATCTATTTGTTAGTGACATTTTCAAAATTTTGTCGCTAAAAGCCTTATTTTTTATTTTCAGGATGACTTTTAGCGACTATCCTCATGACGATGAAAATTGATTCCTAAATGTGCTTTGCAACAAAATTTTTATTTTTAAAGACAAAAACATTTGGTCTCTAAAATCCTTATATGTTATAGTGCCAGAATGTACCTAAAAATACATTTGGATGCATTAGCTATGATATGTTCTACTCATCCATTTCTTTATTTGATGTAATCTCATTTGATTTATGGTTTTGTCATCAATAAATGTTGGAGTATACAATAGGCAGATGATTAGACAACACAAGGTTAGGCCCTTAATTCCAACTGGATTTTGATGGATATTCATTTTATTTCATGAGATAACAATACATCATCCAAATTCAAATCAATAATCTATCGTTATAAACTTTCATAACTTCTTTCAAATGTTTTTAAATTTAAATAAAAATTTAGTTAAGCATGAAATGAAAATCTCCATTTTGCAGTCTATAAAATTGAGACTCAAAATTCAACCCTTTCAAATGTTTTTAAATTTAAAATAAAAATTTAGTTAATCATAAAATGAAGATCTCCATTTTACCGTCTATAAAATGGAGACACTCAAAATTCAACCCGAGCCTACACGTAACTGTCCCACAGTTTGTCGAGTAAATTTCTTAGAACTCACCAAGTCGCTTATCACGGTATTTAATATTCTAACAAAATAATTTATCAACCCTAGTTTTCACAAGTTGCCTAGGTTTTTTTAAATTTTTTTTAATTGAGGAAATATTTAAACAAGGAAAAAGTACATAAAAACAAAAAAATAAATAAAAAATGTGCCTTGTGAATTCAAATCGTTTAATTCATTGACCTAGGTTTGCTACCATAATAATATTCTAATGAAGAAGAGAGAGGAAAGAGGTCTAGAACCCACATTTGCAGAGAAATAACAAGAAGAAACCTTCAAAATTTCAAAAAAGCACTCACACCCACAAATATTAATATATAAATATCTCTAATCTCATCATCAAATGGACTCAGATCTTGGGGAAGAAGAAAACATGGTTCTGCTTGTCTTTGTCTCAGCACTAGAATCTCTCTCTCTCTCTCTCTCTCCATTGACACTGCATATTTCATGCATCATCAAATATGACCATTCTTAAAGACTTTTAGAGATGAGCTGGTGAAGGTTTTCTTGATAAGAAGATAAGCATGGGTTAGTTTATTAATATTTATAGCTAAAGAGAAAATAATGTGGAATGATTGCTGCTAACATAATTGACTTCTTTCGAAGAGAATGCTAAATTATTCTTCTGTACCATACATTTCCCATAAAATTAATGTATATTTGATTTTTTTGACAAACAAAGATCTTGTTTGGTTAAGTTACAATGACCGTACAACACTTCATGGTTTGAAGGGTATTTTTGTCAAGGAATTGAAAAAACAAATAACAGTTTTATGGATGCTACTAAAAATATTTATATAATTTATTTTTGATGTACAAGAGATAGAGGTCAGTATAACGAGAAATTTGGTAACTATACTTTGTTTGGGAATATGTTTTTTTTAGTAACTTTTTAATTTGTTATGAAAAAATGTGTAAAAAAATAGAGAGAGTGATGTGATAACTTATAGTGAATTTTTGACCTTTTAACTAAAACAAAAGGTTGTCAAACAAGATCTTAGCATCACTATAAATATATTTGATAATAGAATACAAAGAAAGTGCATCAAACATGCATTAATAAAAAGGAATAAAAAAAATAAATCATTTCTAAGAAAACACCACCCAATAAGGTTGACACATACTCCAGAAATGCTCCAGAGATGTTGTTCTGATGAAGCTGCATTGGGTTGTTCAGAGCTGCTCCAGAAATGTCTACTTTCGAGGTGCCTGGGTCAGAGTTGTTGTTCTGCATTATATAGTGGAGTTAGAGGTGTTTGCTGAGTAAGAGTTGTCTGTCGGTATGTTTTTCAGGTGTATTGGAGACAAGTTGGTGTGTTGTTTGATGAAACCTCACTGCTTGTCCTGTATTTTTCTGTAGTTACCTCTGTTTTGGTTTGGATTGGTCTCTCACCAATTCTCCTTCGGTTCCAGGTTTTGTTGATGTCTTTTTGCATGTATGGTGCTTCTTTTCATCAATAAAACTCTTCTTTTTGCTGATCAAAAAAAAAAACCCAATAAGGTTGACACATACTCCAGAAATGCTTCAGAGATGTTGTTCTGATGAAGCTGCATTGGGTTGTTCAGAGCTGCTCCAGAAATGTCTACTTTCGAGGTGCCTGGGTCAGAGTTGTTGTTCTGCATTATATAGTGGAGTTAGAGGTGTTTGCTGAGTAAGAGTTGTCTGTCGGTATGTTTTTCAGGTGTATTGGAGACAAGTTGGTGTGTTGTTTGATGAAACCTCACTGCTTGTCCTGTATTTTTCTGTAGTTACCTCTGTTTTGGTTTGGATTGGTCTCTCACCAATTCTCCTTCGGTTCCAGGTTTTGTTGATGTCTTTTTGCATGTATGGTGCTTCTTTTCATCAATAAAACTCTTCTTTTTGCTGATCAAAAAAAAAAAGGTTGACACATACTCCACGCCAATTATGTGTTAAACCGAGGCCCAAACAAAACAAAAGTTAGCAAGTTAATAACAAAATCATCCCAAAGGAAAATGTCTCAAATCTATAGGATGCATTGTTTTTAATCAAAAAAATTAATAATTATTGATGAATAATGTACTACAAGCAGTAAATGAAATCACATCAATAAAACAAGATACCAATACGACTCCAACAGCTAGCCACGACTCACCAATAAAATTTCTAACCAATTTCGGAGTGCATAATCAAAATTCGTTCACAATAACAATTTTTCTCAACCAAAATGATCATAAAAAATTTGTTAGTCATAATAATTGAAAATTTTTCCTAGGCCAAAACAAATAAGAATTTAAGGGCATGTTTGATTACAAAAATTATAGTATAAGATTGAGATGGTTAATTTATGAACTTACAATATCATATTTGAAAGCAAATTTTATTAATCAAATTACATATATGA